GTCCAGCAACGGATCGCAACCCTCAGTGTCACGCCCATACCGGACCGGGACCGGCAACGGGATCGCAACCCTCGGTGTTGCTCCCGCACCTCGCTCAGCCAGTGAGCGGGAACCGGTCTGTATGTGGGATCCAAACCCTCGGCGGGAGCGCCGCTGCGCTCCCAAGCGGCGCACTGTAGCAGTGCGCCACCAGGCCGGCCCAATTCCTAGGTTTTTAACCTCAGCTTTTATTCAGCTGGAGCTGGCTTGCCGGTGAAGAGCTTGAAATTGGCCATGGTGGGAGTTTTTACACCATGGAAATCAGCAAATGCTACAAATCGGTACATTTTTTTTTCATTGAGAGCCGTTTACCAGCTCCCCACTGGCTCCTTCTCTACTTCTCATCCCCTTCTCCCCAAGAAGTGGGAAAATTATGGGACTGACAGGATGATACCACCTTTTCAATCCTGACTGCACCTTCGGCCTAAATCTCTTTTCTTAAGGGCCTCCCTTCTCAGAAGCCTGCTAGATTCTTTTTGAAAACAGAATCCATGTGGTGCCCCCTATCCCAATAAAGGTCCCAGACCCTCTTTACCACACATGGTTTCAACACAATTGTGGCTGAAATCCTGATATCTTTAGACCCTTGGTTTTCTAAGGCAGATGAATACAGTGGCCCCTTTGTGTACCACTGTCCCCAAATACACATCTTCTAGTTTTCCAGACATGCCTAATAGTAGGGTAAACACAGCTGAGGATCCAATCTGGGAAAACCAGAGGCAACCTGCTTTCTCCTTAACTTCCTCCTATTTCCCATACCACCTACGTCAGGGAATTGAATAGGATGAAGAAATTACTTCAGTACTTTGGCATGGGAGAAAAAAATAAAAGCACAGTTTTTTTTTTTTTTTTTTGTATAAAAACGATTTGATATAATTTAGTTCTTTTGAATAGTTTCAATAGACTTCAAATCTTATGCCATGCTTCCAGGTATAAAAGAAGAAATAAAATGTTTTATTTAAACTAGTTAAAACCTTTAAAAGTTCAATATTCCAATCTTCATGACTTCAGTTAAATGTCTTCATCACATTATATTACTCTTTTTTTTTTTTTTCCTTTTTGTCTTTTTCCGTGTCCGGCAACGGATCGCAACCCTCAGTGTCGCCCCCGTACCAGACCGGGACCGGCAACGGGATCGCAACCCTCGGTGTTGCTCCCACGCCTCGCTCAGCCAGTGAGTGGGAACCGGTCTGTATGTGGGATCCGAACCCTCGGCGGGAGCGCCGCCGCACTTCCCAAGCGGCGCACTATAGCAGTGCGCCACCGGGCCGGCCCTATATTACTCTTTAAAGTGAATTAGAATCCAAAGTATTATAGTTACAAATTTATTATGAAACTTACCCTGTATAGCAACATAGTAGGTTTACTACAATTAAGGGAAATGAGCAGAAGCACCAAGGTGCCTACAGTTTCTTCTGTTTTAAAAAATAGTTATAGTAATTTCAACGATTTACTTTATATGAGCTGTATAGTACAAAGCAATGTCATGCTTCTCCTCTAATGGCAGGTAGTTAAAATCTGGACTTTGACCCTGTTAACTAACACAGTGCAGGCAGTGTCCATATTATCTACTATGTCCCTGATGGTCAGCATCCTCCAAAAATAAAAATCAGCATCATCAACAGTGTCTTGGTAAGATTTCATGTTTTCAACAGAAATTTATTGGACAGCCTTTCTGTGCCAGGTGCTACACAAGAGGGATAAAATGAGAAATTAGATGGTCCCTTTCCTCAAGGAGTTCTGGTCTTGGGAAGGATGAATCACATACACAAGCTGTGACAGTGCATGTGTGAGGGCCAGAGCAGAGGAAGGTGCAGAGAGGACGGAGCCTGGGGGAGGGACATTAATCTGCTGTGAAGCAGGACAAGAAAGTTTACCAAAGTCTATACAAAATTGCTACAGCCACCATTTCACTTGGGCTCAAAACTTTTTCCACACCCTGTAAAAAGAGCAGGTATAGATGACAGGTGCATAATCAGTGTCAGTCATTAACTGTCCCCTCCTACTCCCACACTCGACAGTGCTGGTGCCATCAGCACTCTGAAGTCCTGTTGGGAGCCCTGGTGCTGCTCTTAATGCAAAGTTTTTTTCTTTAATATTGGGTACTGGGGCTAAAGAGACTATCTAGTTAGTATTCTACTGACAACCCTCTAAGAGGTGTGCTACATAGTTCTATTATGTTACCTCGTAGCCTTCTTTTTATTCAGAACTATGGTTTCTAACTTTTCGAAATTCCCCCTAGCTCACATTTTCCTTTAAGATAAAAAGTAAACTTTACTTCATCCTACTGTTAGGATTGATGATATAATCCACATTTAAAAGAGACATATTTCTCTCAAAATAGCTTTTCAGAAATATGCACTGCCAAAGTACAATACAGTAAGATCTCTCCACACATGGCTGAATAACCTCTTCTAGACGTTGTAGAGAAGAATTTAGATTAGGTTGCCAATGTCCTCCCTAGTTAATTAGACTGGAAATACTTCTTTTAATAGAATAGTGCATTCTTTTTTGCAGTGATATTTCTGAAAGATGATCTTCAAACGGTACAAGCATTCTTTGTTTTCTATTCCTTAATGATTTTGGAAGAACAAATTGTTTATGTATTCAGGCCAAGTATGCTTTCTTAACATGCATTGTTTCAAGCATTAATTATTCTTTAATTATTTACGTAGCCTGATTAGTTCCAGGACTGATTTCTTCTCAATAAAGGGAAAAGTGTTGATTCAAACCATTTTGGAAATGACCTAAAAGTCATTCAAAATATCTTGAGTAGGTTTAACACGTCATGTAGAACTGCTCTAGAAGTCTTCATTATTAACTAATTAACCATTCTCTTTGGGTGCGTAAAGAACAGAGTCAAACAGGTAACGTCAGAGGCTTTGTCTCTGTAAACCTTATTTCTACTGTTACTGAGCCTAAATTAGAAAACACAAAAACCAAAAAAAAAAAAAAAAAAATCCAGACAACTTTATTATCCACAGCCTATTCTAGATTCATGAAATTATGGGTAGATACAGACATAGGCACTTAACAAATGACCTCCTCTTGAGAGGACAACCTAGAGAAAACTAGCAAGTCTTCAAGCTTTGAAAGGCTACAGTGTGTTTTGTCTGTGTGTGTGTGTGTGTGTGTGCATGCGTGCTAGCAGGTTATCGGCCTTCTTAAAATTTTCAAAGAAAATGATTTTCAAATAGCAGTTGGTAAAAAGATATAAATTAATTATGAAGAAAACTAGATGTGAGGATCATTGAACACTGGAATGTTTGAGAGTGAATGCAGAATCAGCTACTCAGACTTTAAAAGGAGAATCTATATCCTTTTAATAATGGTATTAAGAATGGTAGGATGATTTAGGGGTAGTCTTTTAAGAGACAAGACAATGAAGAGTGACCACTCAGGGTTTCTTCAGCTTTACAATTCAATAACAAATACATCTACTTTTCTTAAAATTGTTTGCAACACAGGGTTTTTAATTTATTAATAGGCTTATAAAAATCATTTTAGTTCCTTCTAAACAACAGTTAGCAAGCTTAAGCAGGGCCAAAGTCTGGAAATTGTTCTCAAATTAGGGGTCAAGCCTGCATGTCTGGTTTCTGAACCTCCAGTTGCCATGTGAACTTCAGCAGACCCATAAACGTTGCCAAATGGAGAAACTGCTAAGACCCAATTTCTCTGTACACATGTACCATTCACTTTACAGCCTCAAAGCCTGATAAACAGGGAGTGCTTCATCCTGTTCTGTGGGTTGGCTGTGTTTGCTATGCAGGTAGAATACATGCAGGTAGAATCTCATAGCATGCTAAATCACAGCATTCTGAAAAATTCGGAGCCTTGTAGAAGGCCATATTTCAAAAAAGTTACTGCTTCAAATAAATGTGCCATTTTATAAAATTATACCTACTGTATCAGAAAAAAATGTTCTTTCATGTGAGTGACATTTATATGACTGCCATTTATAGGGAATAGGACATGCTCACATAGCAAGGCTGAAGAATGGTTTTGAAAGCTGAGAGTATTCTCTGAATGATAAATGTGATAGAACTGTAAGATGCTCCTGTGGGAAGAGACTCTTCCTTCACAGCTTGGTAGTTTCCTTATAAAAACTGAAACCTGCATTATTATGAAAAAAGTTGATTACTCAGTTATACCTGTAGCATTAATATTTTCAACATACTTCAAGCCTACAGGCATCTTTAATTACGGCTCTTCACCTTGTTAAAATTGGACTTTGTGAATCATCCGGCCCAACAGCCTTATACTGTAAATCTGTGGAAACTGAGGCTGTGATGCTGAGCTTCTAGTTAGAACTAGGAATAGAATTCTCCATTTCCTCCCCCATTCTCCATCCAATTAACTTTCCACTGTACCAGTCATCTTTTAAAGAGTTTCCAAATTACCATCCAGAGAAAAAACTACCTTCCACCTGTCTCTGCACAAACAGGAACCAAGGCTTTTTCGCTCTGTGCAATAAATTATATTCTAAACAGTATTTGTCGTTAAACTGCAAAAGGAAATTTAAGTGAAGGTCAAGGATGGAAGTGGTTGCAGATCTCAGGACAAGTCTGTAGCTCTCGGTCAAAAAGTGGCCTCGGATCTGAGACTGTGGAGACGGCCAAAGCCACGTTCTTCCAGGCGCCCTTCTGACAGGCGCCAGGAGTTTGCTCCGATCTACAAGTGAGATACGGAGAGCAATCGAGGCCCCTAAGTCTTGCTCCTTCGGACTTCTCCGCACCCCGGGGTAGTGATGGGAGGGAAACCTCGCAGAAGCTAGAAGCTTGCTGAATTGCTCCGCTGATCGCAGCAGCCTTGGGTGACCTTTCCTGAGAGGGGCGAGGTGGGGAGTTTGCGAGCACCCTTCATCTCAGTGCTGGCGGGCTGGGGAGTGGGGTCCAGCATAGGGGGCTGGAGGGGGGCTGAAGAGGACAAGGTACACGGCAGTAGCCAGCAACGTGACCCACCTGCGGGAGAGGCGCTTCCCAGGCCGCTAGGGTCCATGGCAGCGGCAGCCGCTGCGCGCCGCGGGACGCACAAATTTGTTCTTCAACTA